CCCCCCCCCCCTCCCCATCTTCTACTTGCGCTGGCACGTAACATCGTGTGAGGTTAAGAATCAGTGTCCAAGGCAAGATTGAAGTGAGCCTCTAAAACCAGAATCACAGAAACCTTTACTTGAGCGAAAGTTAGCACGGCGGGTTTTGCTGAGTATCAAAAAGTTCAAGCATACAGCGTGTAGTTTATGCTAACAATGCAGAATATTGTATAAAAAAAACCCTTCTACTCAAGCACTACTCAGAACTACATATGAAAGAGCATAATGATATTTTGTGAAGAGACTTTTTCAAAAGAGTGCATCGTTCTCCTCGGTCTCCAGTGTTACGTTCTGGTCAGTTTTCACACAGATTTCATCACGTTATGCCCCTCTCAGGGACCGGTCATTATCTCCTGGGGGAAGTGGTCAAAGGATTTTAGTTGTGTCACAATGTCATTTACCTGATCTCCCTGAAAACCACGTGATTTACCCCACCTAAAAAAAAAACCCCTGACACTCCCCCCGCGAGGGGGATACTATTGATTGGTTCCCAAATAAGGATGGAAAAGCAGTGATGATGGTGTCCAGTCCCCAGTTATTTTAATTTTATGTCATTTCCTTGTCAGCCAAAGACATAGTGGTAATCGACGGGTCAGGAAAATCACCAATAACTCGTCAAGAATTAATGGAGCAGCTAAAACAAGATATCGCCGAGTTTTATGCATCCTTTCGACGAAGGTATCTTGCTTTACGAAGAAAACATATCAAACAGATCAGGGAATTCAGAAGAGAGAACAGTGGTAATCTAGACACAGGTAAACCTTCTCCGTGTAACAATACACGAGCCATGTCCGGCGTTTAAAGGCTCTGACTTACGTTAGGACATCTTTCCATATACTTAAGTTGACAGCGCTCTTTTTTTTCCCAAGAGTGAAGCTAAAATCGATTCTATTAATTTTGTTCCTTTGATCTATTTTGATCCTAAAATATTGTCTTAGTTTTGCAGTATTTTGTCGACTTGATTCAAGTCCCCTTTATTTTCAGAATTTTAAGGAACAGTGGGCAGCGTAACTTTTGTGCTTCAGGGGAAAACGTGAGATAAATTGAATAACCTCCCCCTCTCTCACCCTTTTTTGTAAAACAAGATGGGAAAAGCGAACTTGCGAATGTATCTGTTGCACCCAAAAAAATTTGTTTCTAGAGCGGGTAATCCTAAAGGCAGTTGGCACTAGTGCAGAACTCAAGGCAAAAATTTAATTTTAATTCTCACATTTAATTAACAATTACTCACCGAAGTGGAAGTAAATATCCAACACTTTCAACGACACCAAGGTGGATAATTGTTTTATTTTATACCACAAAGATACAAAAAAAGTAGTTTATTTCTTTCAACATACTGAAAAATGGTCGGAAATTAAACTCTCGACGAGTGATTGTGTCTCTTTGGCTGCACGGAGGTAAATAATACTAGATATTGACTTTCGAACTAGCCAATCAGCGCGCACGAAGAGTACTATTCACTTGTGGGGTAAATACTTATAATACATAAAAGGACTGCGTCTTGCATATTGCACTCATGATTTTAGGAAAAATTAAACGAAACAGAACGAAACAGAGAATCAATCAGATAAGTTTAGAAGTGAAGCCTGGATTGGCAAAAGACAGACAAAGTTACAAAAGTTCTCTTTTGTTAAACTGTGTTATTTTAGAATTATAGAACAAAAGGAGATTGATACATCTTGCCTTTTTCATTTTACCTTTAAACTCACAGAGTTCAGGAGACTGACGGAGTTAACGGCAAGTAAGTGAATTATTTGTGTGAAAACTGTAAGTAAACAAAAATTGTAATTCAGTGGTAAATTTTTGAGAAGTCTTTGAAAACCGACAGTGAACTTCCCAATTATATTGAAAAATAAAAAAAAATGATCTTTGCTGAGGGACTTCGCCAGGTTTGTCTGAATTGCAACTCCTTAAAAATGTTTATGCAAACTGATTAATTAGTAACTTTAGACTTACTTTTTAATTCAAAGTGTTCTTGTTTATTTCCAGGTCGAAGAGGAAATTACATGGTGACAAGAGACGCAGATATCAACTCGATATTTGAAGGACTGGACATGACAATATTCGACAAAAGAGGCAGCAAACGATGGTGAATTGACACTAACGAGTCAACCTTCCTGTGCAGATGTACGCTGAAAAACGAAGATACCAGCTATTGATATTCTTGAGTAATAGAATTAAAGCAAATACTTAAAAACACGACGTAGTCTAGCATGTCACTGAGAACTCTTCTACAACGATATCAAATTCCCATGCAAATTTTACACGCTAATTTCTAAACCAGAGCACCATAGCAGGTGGCTCTACAAAATAAAACATCACTTAGAAGTACCCTTACACTGCCCTCCTGGGTGGCTCCTAGGAAACGCCAAGAGAAAAAAAAAGTCCCATTATTTTCTCGTGGAAACGTGTAATGAAGCAGTTTCTCTCGTTTCCGACGTATCTTGCCAACGTCTTTCGTACACTGAAAAAAAAATGAACTCAAGTGTCAAAATTGACGTAAATCATGCGAACAAGAGAATAATCGCAAAATTGATTGTAATTCAACTGACCGTTTCATAATAAAAGCAAAAGAATTGATAAGATACCTTACGATGAATCACTGCATAATCCATGTGCAGTTGGGAGCCATTTCTTGAAGATCTAAATAACTTAACTAGCCCGTTAAGGAGGGGGGCATTGGGGCCTATTAGAAACCGCAAACCGAAGAAAAAATCATCCTGAGCCGAAAACCGTATCTGCTTAAATTAACAGCTGCTCTCTCGAGGACCTCGAACGTGATCTCTGCGGACTCAGCAGCTGGTAATGGAGCCTAGTTAAATTCAGGAAATTCGCACAAAAGTCCTCTGCAGGATTACAATTTTGCAGTCGCAAAATCCCACTGCAAATCCCTAATCCAACATTTCCGTTTGCAAACTAAGACCTGGCAGTTTGGAGATTCTATTGGAATGTTGAATCAATGTGAAAGTGATCTTCGCAGTAATGACCACTACTTAAATAGTAATGAAAAGAACGCCTGGAAAAAATTCAGGCCTGTAGGGGATTTGAACCCACGGCCTCTGCGATACCGGTGCAGTGCTCTACCAACTGAGCTAACAAGCCAACTGGGAGCTGGTCACTGTGTTGGTTCCAAATAAACCCGTGAAGTGGTGAATAAACGGTTGTGAATATATGGAAGTGATATATTTGAACTGCGGTTAAGACCTGAAGAAGATCGCTTTCACATTCACGTCTTTATCCGCAGTTCAAATATATGACTTCCATATATTCACAACCGTTTAATGTTGAATCAATCAGTCACGCGTGGCCTGTAACTTGGTCATCAACTTCGAGGTGGCGTTGATAAAGAAACTCTGGCAATGTTCCGTGCTTAGCCGTACCCTAAGTATAGCTGTACCCTCCCCTCTCCCACTGCGATATCACGCATTCCTCTCGATAAAATTTGCGTTTAGCGGCTATTCGAGATAAGTGGAGGCGCATAATTGCCGCTCAGATCGAAAAGAAACCGAAACCCAAATAGATCAAATAGGAAAAACCGAAAACCGCATCGGATATCAAATCCCAAAATCCGTTAGTATTTTTCGCGAAAACCGAAAACCAAGTGCTAAAAAACGGAAAATCAGCAAACCGCAATGAACACCAAAACCGAAAAACCGAAAATCCCAATGCCCCCCTCGTTAAGCTCCTCTGTTTTCATTCAAGATGGGAGTTTTAAAAGGCTTGAAAATTATTCAATAAGACTATCAGCTTAAGAAAAAAAAAAATAGACTGGTTAGGGTGTCAGAGGCTACTTTTCTATTCCTTTAAATTTTCATACAAGAAAAAAGCCTTGGGGCCCGTTATTAAAGTTACTGGGACTCTCGAGAAACGGGCCCTGGCGGGACTCCAGGTTTGAAGACATGACTAGGTCATTGTGCTCTGTTCCAGGGGAAGACAGCAGTTTACTCGTACGGTGCTTATCCTCATTAGGGATATGAATGAAACCGGAGTAACTGTAGGAGGGGAGGGACCTAAAAGAAAGATCTTTCATTTTATCTGGAGCTTCAAATCAATGCATAACTTTCTAATGCATCCCAGGCAAGAGTTTCTCAACTGTTGTTTCAATGAAAGGAGTATCAGTTTTGTAATTCAAAGATTGCCGAATATCGAAAAGAAACATCGTTCATATTCAAAGCGTGGTCAATGAAAAGTGAGCAGACATACGTATCCCGAATTATAATGCTTGTAATGTCGGTTAGATGGAAAATCAGCTTAACTGGCGCCGCAAAGTACAGTTATCAGTCCATATTTGGTGAGTATCATAAGGCTAGGCGACAACACCTACGCTTCCAAGCCTTAATCTTTGGAAATAGTATGCGGTTTTTTTTTTTAACTCTCTCCACGAGCAAATCAAACTGCATTAGTCTACTCATTTATGAATTTTGTAAGATCGGTACTAGCTACGCATTCTCCTCTTTTATTTTGCGATCGTAATTTTCTCAATTTCAACGTCTGTACACAAAATACAAAAGATTTCCTTTATCCGTTCCGATCGCAAATCCACCTGTGCAACTAAAACAGCAAATAATTTGTTCAAATTAAACTCGCTCGAAGAATTCAATTGGTTGAGTAATATCAATCTACCTTTTTTATTTACAAATGAGGGCCCGTGGTTGATTAATGTTGCTTGGCGCTCTATCTCTTCATGAACAAACGGACCACAGAATTTCAAAAAACAATTGGAATTGTTCGCAATTAAATACTATACAAGAATGTGACTAAATCTTCTATTTTGAATTTTTATTCGTTTATTCAAATGCCAACCCCGCTGAGAAATTATTTTTATTTTGTTTACTCAAAGGTTACAACTTGACCTTGAAACTGTTTTTTTAATAATTAGGCTGGACAAATTTGAAAGTAAAAAGCTAGCATGACTTGTCGGAGACGAGAGAGTAACTTGTCGAAGAATATTTTTCTCTCTAAATTGTTTGATATTATTTACAGAACTGAACAGGGGAGGGAAAAGAGTGAGAGACGTTTGTTAAAAAAGATGAAATTTGTCAAAGTCTCGAAAGGAAAGAGGATCGTGTTTTTGTTACTGATTACTGGTTTTGCGGGTATCGTTACAATTAATATATGCTCATGGATTTCTACAACTAAACAGCAGCCAACCATACACCGGACATATTTGAAAACTCGTACAAGATGCCCTCAGAAATTTCCGCTTTTGATCCTGGTTCTTTCCAGTCCGTTAAACTTCCAACAGCGACGAGTGATTCGTCAAACTTGGGGGACAGATTATGCCATGGACAAAACTTGGAAAACCATGTTTTTATTGGGGCAAGCAAAACATCCAATGGAAGCGAAATACTTGATTGAGGAGGCAATCATTTATGGTGACCTCATCCAAGGTCTCCAAACAGATTCGTATTCCAATTTAACCTTAAAAACAGAAATGGGCTTAGAATGGGCAGTAAAATATTGTGATTTTGATTTCCTTTTAAAAACAGATGACGACGTTTTCGTGAACACTTACAAACTGGTAGATTATTTAAGGAGACCACAGACTTCCAAAAGACAGTTATACCTAGGAAATGTCGCACAACGACAGAAAGCGAGAAGAAGAGGAAAATGGGCTTTATCCCTCCAGGAATACCAAAGCAATTTTCTTCCAAAATTCTGTCTCGGTCCTGGCTATGTGTTATCAAAAGACCTTGTCAGCCGATTTGTAGAGATATTTGACGTGAAGAAACCTTTGAAACTCGAGGATGTGTACATGGGAATGTTGGCGGAAAGAATTGGCGTGACCCCCAGCAATCATTCAGGATTCATAACGTACAGTGAAGAGAAGCATTGCACATACAATTCTAAGTGGATTGTTGTACACGAGGCGTCGCCATACTGTATTATGAAATTGTTCGACATAGCTTTAGAAGAAAGATTTCGTCAAGTTGGTAAAGGTACACAGGTTAACTTGCTTCAGAGATGAATGTATTAATTGAAAGCAGCCGGCATAGAGTTGGTGCAGATTAAAGGTTGAATTCTGGGTGTACTGTGCGACTCAATTATGCTGATGTTTGTGTTTATAAGGGGAATGGGTATTCTGCAACATCCTTCCATATTAGCCAGCGAAATAAAGAAAAACTTGTGCCCTTGTTTAATTTGCTTTTTGATCTGTCTGCTTGTCTTAGCTAACTGATGCCTGTGGTGCCAACTGACTCGCTAAGAAATAGACTAACTGGCTGAAAGTATGTTAGGCTTACAGACTGAATGGAAGCCTGGCTGACTGGTGAGATGGCTGGTGATCCACTTGTGTAATTGGCTGATTAAATGGCTGATTGGCTGGCCGACTGACTGACTCAGGCTATATAACTTACTCGATCTCTCTCCGGCAGCCAGACAGCAGCCAGACAGCTAGCAATCTAATAAGGTGACTGACTGACTGGCAAACCTTTGGCCTGGCTGACTGGCTGACACTGGACTGATTGGTGAGCGGTGGGCTAGTTAGGTAAAGTTAACTCACCAGCTGACCAGCTAACTGGCTGGCTGGACCGCTAACGCTGAATTAAATAGCTTATTGGATGACTGTTAGACTGCTCAATGGCCGACTAATAGATCAGTTCCAATATTGCTATAATTCTTAACTTTACTACCAAGACGCCATATTTTCGAACTCTCTCTCTTTGTCCGCTGTATTCCATTCAATGAGACTAGCACATATCCATAAAACTAGACGACACAGAAATAAATAACTCAACTATGAGAAGATTTCAACCATCCGATTAAAACATCCACATGCCAATTCGAATTATCCGGCCTGAAGCCCTCAGCCGCAGAGGCGGTTGTTTAGCACCGGGAAGCAGTGACAAAAACCAGGAAGTTGGGTTTGAAAATTGGTCAATATTACTTGGGGTATATCACCGGATATATCCCAGTTTTAACTGTGGCATATCCGGTCGCATGATGCCTTTCGACCAATTATCACGAAAAGAAACGGGGCTAAAAGTAATGTAGGGTTGAGATTATATGATAAAGTAAACACTCTGCTCTGGCAAATCCATGAGACTGTTTTAAGAAATAAATGGAAAGATTCTGGAGATAACGTTCTAGACATGAAATGGTTTATCTTTTCCGTTGTTGAAAGTTTCTAACGTGATCTGTTTATGAAAATTTCAGAAATTTTAAAGTGTAATTATGTTTTGCGTCAAAAGTTATCGCATTTTGCGTTTTTGTTACAGTTTGTGCCGGGCATTACTTGTTTTGGCGGAGTACCCTCACCCCTATTCTAGCTTCGCCCCCTATAAACTTTTGCTATATTATAACCAGTGAGGCAGAGAGAGGTCGCAGAAGGCAACATAATCCATGAAAGGGCCTTTGGATTGAGACCAAGATCAAGCCACACCGCTGAAATATTGAAAAAAAAAAAGAAGAATTTATTTCTGAGGGTTCAATCAGCTTTAAAAAAATTATGCATAAAAAAAGGGAAATTTTTAGAGCTGTATATCTGTCACAGTGGAACCGACCTCTAATGATGGGAAAGCCACGATTTAGACAAGACATTCCTTTCGCTTGAAGTGCCAAATAAACGTTCAGTCTTGAAAGGAGCCAGTTCGTTCGCCAATTTTTCTGTAACTGTGTATAAAGAACTGTCCCCTGAGAAAACGACACTCGACTTAATTGAAATGTTGTAACTTTAATTTCACCGCTGGATCACAGTGTCCTCCGTTGAAGCTTTCGTAACCTTGGCACTTGCGGAAATAGCATGATGCGATCAAAATGCCTGCAATAAATCGCAAAAAGCGAGGCACTTAAGCTTTCGAACGCTGAGCATTTAGAAAATGATTTAGGATGGTAAACACTTTCAAGTTCGGGGCCACTTTTAAATTATCGAAGAAGTAGGCTGGCTATAAGTTACTAGTGTACAAAGTTGTCACGTTGTCATATAAACATTAACTGGAAAAAAAATAATGACATCTCGTTGAGAAATAAATGGGTATCATTTGATAACGTCTTTCACGAAAGAAAAAAAAATTGCGGTAGTATCGATCTATCAAAGACTTGAATGATTTAGTAGATAATGAACCATTAAAGCCATCTTATATTAACTTAATCTTGATACGAAAGCACTCGTTTCGCGAAGGAAAAGATCACTTTTCGAAATTTTTTTTTATGTTTGCATATCCTTTTTCCGTAAGCTGTACAAAAGGGAAGAATTCGAGGTTACGTACTGACAAGGGACAAGAACAGTTTTCCGTGGAGTCTATATAATTTCCGAAAAAACTATTGGATTTTTTTGAAAATGATTACGCATTGATGACAAGGACGGTAAGCATAGATATGAAGCTGGTATTTTCACCATAAATGCATCCAGGTAAATGATTCAGTGAAACTGGAAAAATTTCAAAGTCTTTCAGAAATAGCAATCGAACTGACAGTATGAGAGGCGAGCAAAAGACAGTATAATTTCATCATCATGTAACAATCCTGCGACGTCTGACGATGTATTGAAGCTCGAGACGTCAGCTTTGAAAACTCTTTAAAGAGGCCAATTTACATCGTCATCTCAGCTTATGTTGCCTCCGTTTTCAGTACATGTAAATAATAACTCATGAACATTTTTACATTTTCAGATGAAAGCGAAGAAGAATAAAAATGAAAATGAACTGTAAACATAGATCCATGAATATTTCTTTAAAAAACTGAAAGATGTGACCTTTTTCTACATTTGTTCTTTTTTATTCTGAGAGTTAACATTTACATTGGGAACTATACACGTTTACTGATTTGGAAATCGAAAGAAAACGCTCCTTACAGGTTATAAGTGCTTCGCATCTTCTTGTTTTCAAACCTTATCTATTGGCTGATTTGTCTTATTTTTTTCATTTTTCACAGTCGACTCATCCATATAACACCATGGCAAAATCAAGGATTGTGTTTAGGGATGTGATCGTGGTAGGGGCAGGCTGGTCGGGTCTTTTGGCTTGTAAATGCATGTTAGAGGAAGGTTTAACTGTAATGGCATTAGAGAAGCGCTCTGACGTGGGCGGGCTGTGGTGCTACACTGAAGACTCAGATGTGATTACCGTCATGAGGAACACGAAAACCACTTCTTCTTCGTCCGTAACTGAGATGTCCGACTTTCCGATGCCCGAGGAGATTGGCCAATTTCCAAAGCACGAGGATGTACTCAAGTATTTGAAGTCTTACTGTGATACTTTTCATTTATGGCTGCATATTCGCCTTGATCATTGCGTGACGAAAGTAACGAAAGACGGCGAACTTTGGCGAGTGAAGTGCGAGAACGGCCGACAGTACACGAGCAAGTTTCTGATTGTGTGTACGGGAAGCGTTCAGAAGCCCAACCGCGATCTTCAGCATTCGTTACTTAAAGACTTTGTCGGAGAAATTCGCCATAGCTCCGAGTTCAAGACGTTTATTCCCGAACATGCTAATAAACGCGTAATGCTGATTGGTGGTGGAGAAACAGCAAGTGATGTTGTCGAGGAATGGTACGATCACGTTTCACGCCTAATTTGGTGTATACCACGTGGGATGCATTTCTTCCGGAAGTTTGCAAAAATTCTTCCTCATCGTCATCCTCAGGCTCTGGACAAAGCTTCCTCTCGAGTTATGAAGTTTATTGCTCCCTTCACGAGGAGTAAACCAGGTTAGAAAAACTGATGGATCGATCATCGATTATATCAATCAGTTAATTGATTGATTGATGATTGATTCGATGAATAACTAACAACTACTCACCGTAGGTAAATATCCATCGTTAGCCAAAAGGTGAATAGTTGCTTTAAGTAGATACTAAAACAGTTA